GCCCTATTGGGGATTTAGCTCAGTGGTGTCACCGCCTGCCTCGCAAGCGCAAGGTCCCCAGTTTGATCCCTGGTACACACACACACACACAAAAAAAAAATTTAATAATAAGAGGCAATGGTCATAATGAAATGTGAAATGAAATAAATATGATGTAAATTTTAAAAGAAAATTTTAATCATGTAAATTGAACTGAATATTTACAAATAAAGTAAAAAATGCATCATAAAGAGTCCAATCAAAAAGCTACAATATAAGATGGTTTTTATTTTATGCCTTATAATACTTTGTTTTCATGGCAAGAAACATTTACAATTTAAAAAAACAAAGGTTAGCAGGGTTCTCCTTAAAATTCCATTTTCTCTCCACGAGAATGGAAGGAGATAAAAGGTAACAAAATACCACAAGGTCTTGGCTGTCAAGATTACTTCTAAAATTCCTTTTATTTCTAATGTCATGAGAATTGCATAAATTTAGCCAAAATCTATGCCCTGATTCTACAAATGAGAGGGACCCAGAAATGCTTAATTATCGCATGACTCCTAAAAATAGTGGTCAACATATATTTTGCATCAAATATATTCATAATTTACCAATATGCATTTCCACGGTAAAGTACATCTTCGTATCACTGTTGGTTTGTTTCCTTGGAATTTCCCCACTGAATTAGGAGGCATGTTCTTGGATGCTGCATGCAATGTGGCACCCATGTTTCAGGTAGACAGAGGTTTAAATGGGAGTTTGTAAGCATCTGTCCCTAGAGGATGACTGTCAATTGTGTATAAGCTTGTGCAAGTTGCGGCAGTTGTTTTATTGACTCGTTTGTTTTACCTCTAAGATAACCCCATGTTCGTATCACTTTATGGCTACTACGTGCAACTACTAAAGAGATACATAGACAAAAATCTAAAAAGATTCTCTGGAATTTCAGCAAATGAAAAGCTATATACATATAACAGAATTAGATAATCACTAATTTTAAGTATACGGTATTCTTAATCACAGTAGTTTTGGACTACATAAGAAATAGAAACTGGGCCAGGGATTTAGCTCAGCAGTTCTGTGGCCTGCCTCACAAGTGAAAGGAGCCGAGTTTGATCCCCGGTACCACAAAAAAGAAAGAAAAAAAGAAAGAAAGAAAAGAAAAGAAATAGACCTAACTATCAAGTCAGGATAGAATATACTATGAAGATTATAAAATGCAAGGAAATTCTGTAATAGTTCTTGGGAAACATTTACTGGAGACAACGCGCCAGACTGCAGTTATCTGACAAGTAGGTAACAGTTCTGGGCTCTACTGTCATTCTATTCTTGAATCTTTAAGCTTCATTCAAACTGTAACTTACTCATATGTGACAATGAGGAACTTATCACAGCATAAATTTATGATTTAAAAATCCAGAGAGACCTATTTATGTGTTTCTGAGAAAAAAAATACTATCCATCTTCCAGGTGTTTGATGTGTATTTTATCCAATTTAACTTTGAAAGTATAAAGCAGAAAGCAGAACTAGAAGTTCAAATCAAACTTTAAATCTGGAGGCAGCAACAGCTTTGTTTCCCTTCCAGCTTTTACCTTCTGGCTCGTTTTTGATGAGCTCTTCCATTTTCCTCTGCTTCAGGGTGTCCACAACATCAGCTAAGCTGCCCTTCCGACGTTCGGGGGTTCCCAGGGCCGTGCTGGACAAGGACTCGCCAGTTTGTCGCCCACCTTCTTCTGCCTTCTGAGGTGAGGTAGATGAGTTGTGTGAGGCAAATGAAGACATAACTTTATTGCCGTCAACTTCCTGTGAGAGAAGTGAAGGAAAGAAAATTGTTGTTAAAAATTCAGTATTTAAAAAAAAGTGGATATAGTATATTCAGCTGACACATTTAAACGAAAAATGATGTAATTCTGTAAAAGCAAAGAAATAAAGAAATTCAAAAAAAGTAAGTTAACTTTATAGCCTAGCACTAGGGTGAGTCAATGATCAATTCATGGGAGAATCAAAATCTGGGGTTTTCTCCCTTAAACTGAAACAAAGGTTTAATATAAAAGATGGTATAGTCTTAGCAACATACAAAACTAGGACTGCTTAAGATTTATTTTTTTGCTTTTGAGTCTCAGATTTTCCTATGAATATTAAAGTTACTGGTCACCTATATTAAACCTCCGAGGTGACATCGAAATACGTAAAAAAAAATTTTATGTACAGTCCTTAGTTCTCATTTAAGTAGCTTCCTCTTCTTGATAGTGCTGCTGGTTAAAGTGGGGTCCTCTCTTAGCTCTCCATCTCTCTCTAACGTTTTTAGGAAAGCACCAGCCACACAGGTGATTTTGACATCAGACAAGAATACTACAAGTGCATTTTTGCTCATAGTAAAGGTTTTCTGATATAATAGTCTTATAGCACTGTTTCTACCAACATGGTCCTGTTTCGCTCTTTATGCTTCACTTGCCCTGTAAAATAAAGTTTCCTGCCTTCTTTTCTCCTACCTCTCCCACTTTCCCTTCCCCTTTGCACCAAGGGAATGGAATTAATATGAGAAAAAGAAAAAATGGAAACACGGGCAGGGGATTTAACTTAGCGGCACCATGTCTACCTTGCAAACTCAGGGTCCTGAGTTTGATCCCCTAGTCCAGCAAAAAAAAAAAAAAAAGAAGAAGAAGAAGAAGAAAGAAAAAATGCATACAAAGTCTTTGTAAATAGGGAGGGGCGGAGGGGTTCAAGGGAGGGTGGGAGAATGTGGAAAAAATAAAAACCAAGATGGATTATGTGAAGGTGCAAATTATATTGTATACCTAAAATGTACTAATAAAACTAATTAAGAAATAGTTTCCTGCAGTTTGTGATCGTCTTATAATTATGTATGTACACCTAGAAAGAATTTATTCTAGAATTCTAAAACTAAAATACATTTTAGCATTCTGTTATCATCATTTCCTTCATGATTTCTACCATAACTTTTGTAAAATGCATAATATTTGGGTATATTCTTTATAAAAGACAATAAATTGATTTTCCCAACATTTTCAAGGAGTAAAACTGAAAAGATAACATTAATTTTTTATTTTTTTACGCAAAGGTTTTCCTTGTACAGTAACCCTTTATGTTCTCCCAAAGTGGAGTTTTTCCTAAAAAAGTATTTGTGTCCTAAGAGCTTTGAGATTCACCTCATCCTTGGGTCTAAGTCACTTCTCAGCAGCATCACAAGTTTCCATTGAAATATATTTGAGTATAAGCATGTTGAAACTCAGAATAAGAAGATTATACCTTTTTATACTTTCCTTCTCCACCTAGTTAAAGCATGTCAACAGGATTCTTGACTACAGAAATGTGATAAAGCACACTTATTGACATCTAATGTTTTTAAGGTCAACGTTTACATTTTTGACTGGCTTACAAATATACCAAAAACATGTGACTGAAAACTGTCACTTTGATTTTTAAAAATACGTTAAAATGGAGATGACTACACGAACACGTTAATATGATTTTGTGTCAACAGATATTAGTGAGTACAGGGTCATTAGCTATGGTCTCGTATCAATCTGCTGGGTGGGCTGAAAACTGCACAGAATGCAAAAATAAAAAACGTTTGCTAACAGAATCTTTCAAATTATAATTCTAAACCCCACATGTTTGCTTAAAAAAAAAAAAAGCACTACAGAACTTCTGTTAACATTATACCTTGACTAACATACAATTTACTTTTTAATATATTTGGACTTAGAAGCATTATTGTAAGATGCAATAATTAAAGCCTCTGCAGGTGAAATGAAGGTACACTTTGGAAATTATTTATTAAAAACCTGTACATAAGCATAAGCAAATATGTGCACACACACACACACACACCCCTACATCTACACCTAAGAAAGAACAAGAACAGATTTCTTCAGTAAACTAATAAGAACGTTTTCACGAACGGCCCATTACACCCATTAGCTTAGTTTCAGGTGAAATACAGAATATAGGAAAGGTTCTATACTCCCTTTCATCTTGTTTCTTTCCAGGTAGAAACACTAGTATCACTTTGAACATTTCTTTGTCTGCTATTTTTATATTCAATGATGACCAACTTTAAAAACAAAGGTTTAATAGCAGATTTTAATTTTTACACCTGAAAATTACTCTTTACAGCATACCAAACTTTGTATGCAAACAAGTATATTAAACTATCAAAAATATTTCCAAATAGAATATTCCATTTTGCATAGCTCTCATTTTTCATAACTTGCAAAGAAGAAGGAAATAGTTTAACATAGTTCAGAAGTATTTTAACTCAAACTCCATCAGAAGATAAAAACAATTAAACATTGGTGCTGTTCTATGCAGGAATATTTATCTTATCGTGATTTCACCTCTCTGATTACACTTTACCCTGTGGCACTGTTAATCCCTTTAACAGTTTTATGTAGTTGACAGCTGTTCCAGTGTGGGGCTGCACTGTTCATTTGCACAGTGAATAACTTGTTAAAGAGGACTGGCACAGTTTCTACCAAAAGATGCCCTCTTGCTTTCAATTTCTTCCTGGGATTGAATTTGTCATATATGAAGTGATAACTGTGTGCTCTCCTTCACTTTGCAAGTAGGTAAAATCCAGAGTCCACTAACAAAGGCACCAGTGATCCAGCCTAGTCACATAAATTTAATCAAGTCTCAGGAACAGGAAGGATAAGCTTCAGGATTTTGCAGAGCTGTGATGTTTCACTTCTAAAATCTACTGATGAAAGATGATTCTAAACTTTCCAAGTGAAGTTGATCATTTTCCTTTGTTATTCTTTAACAAGCTTTATTGAGATCTTGCTACCTTTGTCAACTTTGCAACCAAGAGGAAAAAAAAAAGGGGGGGTGTGCCTAACATATCTATCCCCTTGCAAATATATTTTGAAAAATACATTCTCTTTAACTCATTCTAAAGAGAGCATTTTGTTATGAACACTTTGAGAGAAATACTGAGTTACTTTAATACTTAAATTTAGATAATGTGATGATTAGAAATGTGCTTATTTGAAAAAAAAAAAAAAAGAAGAAGAAGAAGAAGACGAAGAAAGATCAAGCCATTGTGGTACATTGACCACGCTTGTGAACCCAGATGCAGGAGGATGAGGCAGAAGGATGGCAGGTCTGATACTAGCCTGGGCAATGTAATGAAGGACTGGCTCGAAAAGGGAGGAGGGAGCAGGGGCCTCTTCCACAGTGGTACAGCGAGAGTTCAATCCCTACTCCTGCAAAAACATTAAATGCAACACAACCAGACATATATGTTTCCTTTATTAATCAAATGACATTTCATCTGTGGCCTCAAGAAACACATTATTGTGGCACTTCTTAATCCTGTGAAATTAAATTCACACGTGGCAGTAAAAATACTATGTTTAAATTTCAATCTAATAGAGTATAATTGGTAAGAATATTAGCTAATATTTCTTGAATAGCTTGTGTTGGGCATGCATAAGTCTTACTAATATTTCTGTTAAGTCTATTTGTGATTTGTATTTTACAGTTAGAGACACTGAGGCATGAAGATTAATATGAATGCCTACACTCCAAGCTATATAGTACCACCATCCAAATATCCACGGCCTATGTCATGATTCAAAATTGAACTTACACTCAAATAACTATTAAATCCCCAAAATAGAATTTTCCCCAAGTGGTTTATCACAGTGATGGTAGTGAATATTTTATGTTTCTGAACTATCTTTACAAAATCTGTGGGCATCTCCTTTCTAGTAAAATAAAGTTTAAAAAACAGAAAAAGTTCAGAAGATTTGAACTGTCATTAACTGGACTCTTACTAATGCAAGTTCATCAATTTGGTATTGCATAGTGTAGCATAAAATCAACTACATGTAACACAAATAGTGCTCTGCTGCTCTCCAGTCTGTGCAATGATCATGTTCTTCACTTAGCAATGGGCTGCTTTATAAAAATCATCAAAAAAATGTGAGACAAAACTTTTAAAAAGAATTTTTTGTATTGGGGATCGAACTAAATGAATGTTATGATTCTGACAGCCAGTCTGATCAGCTCAATTTTCAAATATCCATGCTTCCTGAAAACAAGACATAAACAAGATACAAGAATACATGGAAGCAAAATCAACCTTATAAAAAGCTCAGTAAAGGCACAGAGAGCTTTCTTTGGTTAGCCCACTCAAATTTAGTATTTGAAGAACAAGATATGGTCAAGTCCCCATAACTGCAAAACAAAACTCAGCGCTTACAGACAGACTTCTGAAGAGTGTTGTTAGAGTTGTTATCTATCTGATTTAAAAACCACCCAATTTAAAATCTTTCCTTGACTTTTCTTTAAAAAAGAGCTGCCTAATGTATACTTAGGTCTGTCCGTTGAAAAAAATGGAATATGACAGAAGCAGTCTTGTCTACATAGATCGAGTTTAACAGAACTGTTACAGATTATCTGTAGTGCCTCAACAACTACAACGTGTTCTGAATGAGGAACCAGATTTTTTAAAAGATTGACTGATTGATTGAATAACTGGTACTGGGGCTCAAACTCAGGACCCTGAGCTTGCAAGGCAGGTGGCAGCACCACTGAGCTAAATCCCTGGCCCAGGATCCAGATTTTTGATGAGTGGCTCCCAAATCGATCTGGCAATGCACCCCACAAGCTATGTATATGCATTTGTAAGTCCTTGCAGGGACTGTGATGGGTAGACACTAGGCCTGAAGGCAGCAGCCTAGTTTGGATTGCTTGCAAACTATAGTCAGAAGAGCCCAAAGTCAATTTCTAAGGAATATTTATACACATTTCCCCATTTTTAATGACATTATTGA